TGTGCAGTGTAGAGATCCTGCACGGGGAGAGCGTTTTACCCACCTGCTTTCCTGCCATGCACACAGCCTGGAGTGTGCAGTGTAGAGATCCTGCATGGAGAGGGCGTTTTACCCAACTACTTTCCTGCCAAGCACACCTCCTGGACTGTGCAGTGTAGAGATCCTGCACGGGGAGGACGTTTACCTAACTGCTTTTCTGCCACGCACACACACACACACACACACACACGGTGTGTTATGATTTCTAAGATGTTCCTGTAGCTTAAGCTGGAGGTGAGTGCCAGGTGCTTATTGTAGTGTCATCTATACTTTTTTATATGCCTGACATATTTCAGTTTTAGAAAGCTATTGCAGAAGTCAAAGCAAGAAATAATAGTGTCAGTGAACAACTTGGCAAGGTAAATGAAGAGGACTTGGTATTTGGTTAGGTGGTGAGCAAGGGAGGAGCACCCATGACCGCTAGAGGAACAGCTGGAGGTTCAGCACACACCTACCCACTCGACCCTTATTGAGGCTTCAGCTCTGGGCTGTTCTGGGTCCCAGGGTCATGCCTGCACACAGCTCCCTGGCTCCATTAAACTACAGTGCCTGCAGTATTCGCAGAACCAGAGAAAATCTGTTCATTCATAACTACTACTAGTATATGATGCACTGGGTTCTTTATGACTTTTAAGGTGCTTTTTCATATATTGGAGCATAGATATATTCTAATGAAGTGTAACAACCTCCAAAGTTGTCTTCAAGCTGAGATTAAGAGTAGCCTTCTGAAAACCAATCTCGGCCCTTCCTCATCTAACCCCACGCAGAGTGAAGGAGAGGGTAGGGTGGCTGAAGACTTTGGGGTGGGTGGGACCTTGCCTCTCTCCTTAACATAATCTGTAACCTGCTTTAGCCGAAGGGCATCTCTCCCTAGCCTGAGATTCCCTGTGACAAGAACATGCTGTTCCAAAGTCTGGGAATAGAATTCTCATCTTACTGAAGAGCAGTTTGTTTTTCTTTAAAGCCTTATCTTGACTTACTCTTAATGAATTTTATTCTCCTTTCTCCAGATTTCCCACTTACATGGCATTATATCACAACACACTGCTTCTCAAAAAATAGAATTAAAAAAAAAGTCTCTTCAGCTTTGCAAATTTAAATGCATTTTATCTGAGAAGGAAATCTGCATGGTGGGTTTCTGAAGAGACAGGAAAGTTCTTTTGCTGTCTTAGAAAGTATCATTTCTAGAATTTAAAATTAGTGTGGTTTATAAGAATCCTTCTAGCTATTTGGTAATAGGTGGAGATTTTCTGACTCTTCCTATTTCCTATTAAATTAATTTTGGGAAGAAAGGATGCAAAATGTAGAGATTCCTGATAAATGTTATTGTCATACTGTCATATAGTCATTTGACGACTTTTATAAGAACTACCGAAATACATTAAATTATTTAGAAATATATAGCACATTCCAGCAACAAAACTATATTAGAAATGGAACCAAAACTCTCAAAAGCTTTGTAATTTTAAAAGATATTTAAATCATGTAGTCTGCTTTTTTTTTTTTTTTTTGACACAGAGTCTCACTATGTCACCCTTGGTAGAGTGCTGTGGCATCACAGCTCATAGCAACCTCCAACTCTTGAGCTTAAGCAGTTCTCTTGCCTCTGCCTCCCAAGTAGCTGGGACTACAGGCGCCCACCACAATGCCCAGCTATTTTTTGTTGTAGTTGTCATTGTTGTTTAGCAGGCCCAGGCGGGGCTTGAACCCGCCAGCCTCAGTGTATACGGCTGGCACCCTACTCCCTGAGCTATGGGCACCGAGCCATAGTCTGCTATATTTTTAGATGAAGGGTTCTGCTATTTATTTTCTAACTTATGAAGTTGGGTGCTTCAGTTTTTTGTCTTTTCGAGTATAACTATTTAAGGCTTTATATTTTCCTCTAAGTTCCACTTAAATATATCCCATCTATTTTGATGTAGATTATTTTCATTATCATTAACACTGAACATTTTTAAAATTTTGATTATGAATTCTTTCTTAATTTATGATATCTAGAAGTATGTTTTTAAATTATGTTTTATTTATGTTTTGTAACTGGCTTTAACTCAGTTACCCTGTGATCAGATGACATGGTCTGTGTGATACTACTTCTTTAACAATTGTGTTGAACAATTATTTTGCTTGCCATTTTTAACCCAGCTTTTAAAATTCAGAGTGAAGAGATTCTGATTTATAAACAAAGGTTTTTTTTTTTTTTTTAGAGCCAGTCTCACTCTATTGCCCTTGGTAGAGTGCTGTGGCATCACACAGCTCACAGCAACCTCCAGCTCCTGGGCTTAGGTGATTCTCACGCCTCAGCCTCCCTAGTAGCTGGGACTATAGGCACCTGCCACAATGCCCGGGTATTTTTTGTTGCAGTTTGGCTGGGGCCAGGTTCGAACCCGCCACCCTTGGTATATGGGGCCGGCGCCCTACCCACTGAGCCCAAGTTACTGAAACTTTTATTATTTTTTTATTGAGCAGGACATGGGTTAGTTGTCAAGATCCTATCTATTCATTTGCTGTCAAAACCCTGGAAGCAAGTTGATTTCTAGAGTTGCACTAATCACTCCTCTTTTTATTTTAAATAGGAGTATGCTGTGAACTGCCATGTTATCACCTGGGAGAGGATTATCAGCCACTTTGATATATTTGCATTTGGACATTTCTGGGGCTGGGCCATGAAGGCCTTGTTAATCCGTAGTTACGGTCTCTGTTGGACAATCAGCATTACCTGGGAGCTAACCGAGGTAAGGAGGGGCCCTCGGCTTACCCAGACTAGATAGTGCACACAGTTTATGCACAGAGAAAGATGGTCTGTCTGGTCACAGTTCCTCCATTTTTCAGCCACTGTGGTACAAAACTGTATTTAAACCATCCCATAAAAATATATTCTAACTGTGTTAAAAAAAAAAGAACCTCTTTGTTAACTTGATAAATAGATGAAACCTCTTCTATCCCACAGGACTGAAAGAGAAACAAATAAAATAGAGCTAAAGGAAGTTAAAATCCCAAGTAAGACAAATATATGGGGATCTGCTTAGAGTGGGATGGCAAGGACCCGCTTAAGTCTGGGAGCTTTCTTGCAAGGTACCAGATTCTGGGGTGGGGGGGGGGGAGATGAGGAGATCTGTAATTCAGTACATTGATTTACTCACTAGCCAGTTTCCAGTTTGAGATAAATAGAATTGTGGTGTCCAAGAATTACAAGAGCATGCAGAATACTTTCCAGCCGAGAAATGGATTCCCAGTAAAAATCCAATGTACCAGTGATCAAAAGTTTATCTCATTTAATTAATGGAAAAGTATGGTCTTGAAGAACTATTAGCAAAATGAAAAGCTAATTCATTGATTGGGGGGAGCTAATTCTTGATTTTTCAGTTATTATTCTTAGCTACTTATTCCCAGAGAATGCAATTTGGTCATGAGCAAAGTGTATTTCTTGACACTGATCTCCATCCTACTCCAACTTAGGGAAGTGAGCCAATCCGCTCTCACTCCTGTTAACATGCCTCTCACAGTTTTGGAGGGTAGAGGTCTGATGTCAGGGGGTCCTCGGGGCTTGTTTCTTCTGAGCCCCTGTGGAGGCCCCTCCCCTAGCTTCTCATGGTTCCCTGGCAGTCTCTGTTACTCCCTGCTGTTCCCGCTCTGCCCTGGTGTGTACACGGCATTCTCCCTGTGCATGCTGAGTCTTCATGGTGTTCTTTTTGTAAGGACACCATACTGCATTAGGGGCTCACTCTGCTCCAGAATGACCTCATCCTAATTACCTCTCAGTGACTCTGTCTCCAATAAGTTCACCTTCCAAGGTGTCTTGAGAGAACACAACCCTACCCCTCTGCAGTAGCTGCCAGCACTTGACATGTGCCGCCATAACCAGGAGAGGCAGTGTGTATGTGTTCCTGTTATACAGGTGAGAGGACTCAGCTTTGCTTCCTTAGGTGACACCCACGTGCCTGCTCCATACCACATTCCAGCTCTGAATTTCATGAGTCTTTATCACCTGGCTGCTGCATGACCCTGTGCGAGGTACCTCGCCCCTTGCTTGCTTCCTCCTCACTCACTGCAGTGGGGTTCTGTTGTTCCTTCCCTCCCTGCTCACCAGTGGCCCATAGTCTCCAAGTCCTGTAGACTCTTTCCTAAACACCTGTATAAGCCCACTGAAGCCTCATCAGGCCCCTGCTCCCACATGTGTCAAATCTACCCTTACTTCTCATCTCAGTGCTCATCTCCTCTCTCCACGCTATTTACTGCAAAGCGATCTTCTCTAGACCTCCACCAGATGAAGTCTGTCTCCTGCTCAGAGCTGATTAGTGTTTGTTCATTACTTTTAAAAATAGAATCCATACTTCTGACCCTGCATCCGAGGCCCAGGGTTAGCTGACCCTGTCTACAGCCCACCCCATGGAACCTGTTCTCTAGGTGGGCTCCATGTTCATACTTGCAGAAATAGAACACTTCCTCCTTCTCCTTTGAAATGCTTAGCTCATGTTTCGTACTTGAGAAATGTCTCTTTTCTACTAAATGTGTGCCTCAAGAGGGCAGGGCCCTTGTCCGTGTATTCCCAGACCTACTGACTCTGCCTCACACTGGGCAGATGCCACACAAATCCATTGTAAATGAAGGAACTTGAACCCCGCCAGCTCCCTGGCCTCCCTGGGTCTTCCTGGGGCTCATCTCACCCCCAGAATCTGGTACCTGCCAAGAAAGCTCCCAGACATAAGGATGTCCTTGCCATCTCACTCCTTTGTGTAGTTTTGTTTCAGCAAATCTGTGTCATTGACCTTTGCCCAAGTTTCTTTGTTCCTCATCTAAGGGCAAGAGTTAAGACTCCAGCTCCTGGCTTGGAGCCTGGGAATACACTTCAGGAGGGGTGTCCAGCCCACCTGGAGTAGGCAGGAAGCCAAAAGGCATCACATGCAGTAACTCTTCTATAGTTTCTCAGCAGCAGGCATGTTAACAAGAAAAATTCCACTTATTTATATATTATTCATAGTTTATAAAATGCTTTCATGACCACTGTTTTATCTGCACAATATTTATGATACTACTTTAAAGATTAGTCATTAGACTAGTCTTTTTCTGGAGTTTGTCTTTTGTAATTTCACCTTAAACTGGGTTTCACACAGCACGGCGTGCTGCTCTGGACACAGCTGACACACTCTTTGATTTGGGCAAAATAGTTTCCCTGAGACTCCTGATCCACCCTTGATCTCACTGTTCCTCCCTCCTGGAACGTCCTCCTTTTCATCTCTGTTCAAGTCAGTCTTTCCTGTCCGTAATGTTCCTGCGCCAATATTCCTTCCTTCCAGACGCCTTCTTCATTTGCCTCCAGGCAGAATGAATTTGTTTTGTCCCCTTAGGGAGTCATAAGTACTCTGCTTATGTCACCATTGCAACCTTTGCCTCAGTCTGCCATATTTTGGTGTTCTGGTTATCTGGAAAAACACCCGACTCCTCCCTTGGAGATCAGTACCCTTGACTTCCCATTTCTCTCAGCACCTTGCACACATGGGCGCGTCATAAAGGATTGTCATTAATGTGAATGGGTTAGTGTGAGATTTCCTGTTAAGCCGTTATGTTTCCCACATCACATCATTGAGAGCTAACCTTTCTGCTTTTATAATTTGCTGTTTTACCTAACTACCTATGGGATACTGGTGAAATGTACAACTTGAATTCTCAAGCTGCTGCTGTTGAGGCTACACCAGTGCTTTGTTGTCAGGCATGAAAACTTTTCTCCTTTTCCCCCCCTTGATCCTTGTCATTTTATCATTAGCCGAGGGAATTCAATCAGTTTTTCAAGAGAGACCATTATTTCTATAAAGCCCTATATCAAAAAAAAAAAAAAGAAGAAGAAGAAGAAGAACTATTTGGATAAGCCTTGTTTATGAACCATCCACAAAATAAAAAACAAGTACCAGGTTGCAGACCTTGTTGTCAGGAATAGGGTTTTGGTTTTTTTTTAACATTAAGAAATAAAATAACAACTTTTTCTAAAATACTGTACTTATTAAAAATGTATGTTTCTTCGTGGTATCCAGTTTTATTTGTGTTTCCAACCGTGGGTTCTTTTTTTCTCAGCTTTTCTTCATGCATCTTCTGCCCAATTTTGCCGAGTGCTGGTGGGACCAAGTCATTCTGGACATCCTGCTGTGCAACGGTGGTGGCATTTGGCTGGGCATGGTTGTTTGCCGATTTTTGGAGATGAGGACTTACCACTGGGCAAGCTTCAAGTGAGTCATCACCTTTTTGGACATCAGTCACAGTTTTTCGTAATATATATTTAAGTGCTTTGGAGGGAGTCAACTATAAATTCTATTCAATTACTATTTCATTAGTAATCAAAATTCATAAATGATTATAAACCTAATTTTAAGCATTTATCCAGAAAATGCTAAATCATTTGTAATTTTCTCTTCCCACTTCATATATTCAGTGGGTCTCAAAATATTTCTCAAATCCATCGTCTCTTTTATCCCTGCTGCCACAGGTGAGATTCAGACTCCCATCTGAATCTCAGGCAGTCCCCTGTCCCGAGATTCAATCTATCCCATGGCTTCAGTGATCTTCATAAGAATATCAGCTTCTGGCTCGGCACCTGTAGCTTATTAAGCAGCTAAGGCGCCAGCCACGTACACCAGAGCTGGCAGGTTTGAATTCAGCCCAGACCTGCCAAACAACAATGACAACTATAAGCAAAAAATAGCCAGGCATTGTGGTCCCAGCTACTTGGGAGGCTGAGGCAAGAGAATCACTTAAGCCTAAGAGTTGGAGGTTGCTGTGAGCTGTGATGGCCACAGCTTGAGGCTCTGTCTCAAAAATAAAAAGAATGTCAGCTTCATTGTGTCACCCCCTGGTGCATCCTAGATACCCTTATCCTGGTATCTAGGATGAAGTGTGTGTCCATGGGCTCGGCAGGGGAAGTCCCTGCCCCACACCCTCCCAGCACCCTGAGGTCCTGTGTTCATGCACATGCTCCCCTCCCTGTACCTGGGATTTGATCTGTGTACCAGTGGGCCAGGCTGGTCATCCTTTTCTCTGCTGACTCAGCTCACTTGTCACCTCTCCAAGATGCTGTCTCTGACTCTCTGGCTTAGTTGCATGCCCCTCTTCTGTGCTCCCGTGAAGGACAGAACACACTACTCTCACTGCTTTATCCTGGTTAGTAACACTTGCTTTTCAATTTGTGCCAGAACTGTGCCATTGATAAGGAGGAAAAGTATAATGGTCGTGATAATGAAAGTAGTAATTGCTTTGTGTTAAAAACTTAGTTTAATTTTAATAACAAAATAGCGTTTTCTCACATCATTAAATATCCTTCTAGAATTTTTTTTTTTTTAAGAGACAGAATCTCATTTTGTCGCCCTCGGTAGAGTGTTGTGGCGTCACAGCTGACAGCAACCTCCAGCTCTTGGGCTTAGGTGATTCTCTTGTCTCAGCCTCCTGAGTAGCTGGGACTACAGGTACCCACCACAACACCCGGCTGTTTTTTTGTTGCAGTTTGGCCGGGGCTGGGTTCAAACTGACCACCCTCCATATATGGGGCCAGTGCCCTACTCACTGAGCTACAGGTGCCACCCATCCTTCTAGAATTTTAAAGATGTTCTTCATATCCCAACATATGGATAAACCATAAGTATTTAACCAGTTCCCTTTTATGGTCCTTTAGTTTCAAGGTTTCTCACTTTTATATTAAGAAGGCTAGGGTGAACATTATTGAACATATACTTTTGTGTGTATCTCTGATTTAGGTTTCTTTCTGGTAAATAAATTCTTAGATTTGGGTTTCTTTTTGGTAAATAAATTCTTATAAGTACAGTACAACAATTTATAATCTCACTTATACATGTGTGTATCCATTTTGTCACTTCTTTGAATTATATTTTTAAACCTTTGTTAATTACACATAAAATTTTGTGATAATGGATTTCTAGCTATTTTTATTGGATTTTCCCCCTTTTATTAGTGCTTTCTATAGATTAAGGTTATTAATGCATCAGAAGTGTGATTTTATTTTCCATTTCATCATCCCCTTTTATTCTGTGGTAGATTTTTCATTTAAACTTCAAAAATGCTTTTAATCTACTTGTTCAGGTAAATAGTAACCTGCATTTTCTTCTAGTTCTTTAATGGCTTTACCTATTTTTTTTTTTTAAGGCAGAGTCTCACCATGTAACCCTCAGTAGGGTAGAGTGCTGTGGTATCACAGCTCACAGCAACCTCAAACTCTTGGGCTTAAGCGATTCTCTTGCCTCAGCCTCCCAAGTAGTTGGGACTACAGGCACCCACCACAACACCTGGCTATTTTGTTGTTGTTGTTGTTGCTGTCATTGTTATTTAATGGGCCTTGTCTGGGTTTGAACCCATCAGCCCCGGTGCATGTGGCCGGCACCCTAATCACTGAGCTATGGGCACCAAACCAGCTTTACTTTCTATTTTTTATTTATTTTTATTTTAATTATTTATTTATTTATTTTAGAGACAGAGTCTCACTTTGCTGCCCTCAGCCTAGGTCACAACACCCTCCTAGGCTCAAGTGATCCTCCTGCCTCAGCTTCCCATGTAAGTGGGACAATAGGCACACATGTGGTGCTAGTTTTTCTATTTTTAGTAGAGATGGGGTCTCATTCTTGCTCAGGCTGGTCTCAAACTCCTGAGTTCAAGTGATCCCTCCTGCCTTAGCTTCCCAGAGTGCTAGGATTACAGGTCTGAGCCTCCACTCCTGGCCAAATATTCTGATTCTTGATCTTGTTGTGTCTCGATTTGTTCCTGTTTTCTTCTAGGTCTTTCCATGCACTTTTGTCATTTTTTAAAATACAGGCACTTTGTAGTTCTTGTTTATTTTTGGATAGTGTCCTATTTTTGGCTGCCGTTGTGCCACAGATCTTGCTGTGATATTTTCTCAATGCAAACTTGTTGATGGATGGGTGGGTGGATGAAAAAATAGCCCTGGTTTCTACCACTCTCCCCTGCTCTCACCCACTGGAACAAAAGGCCTGACTGGTTGAGCTCAATGTCAGAGACAGAAAGGTCCATGCTATAAATATTTGTTGAATTAAAGACTCTTTACAGTTATTAAATGGCATTTACTTTGGGTTTTGGCTTTCTTGGACTAGTGTGAGAGGGCTGAATCTGTACCCAGCTGTGACGCTGATGAGGCGAGTCTGCAGCCACCTCTCTCTCTGAGCTTAACTGTTCTCATTTGTAAAATGTGGGCCATGTATTTCTACCATGGGAGTAGGAAACTGAGTGATTCGTGGGATTAAAACTAAGGAAGGTTAAATGTCACTGTTCATCAACCCAAACTCTTCACTTCTCTAGGAAATAACTGGGGTAAAGAAATGATGTAGGTGACCTCAAGAACACGGGGCAGGCTCTGTTTTGGGAGACGGGCAGTGAGTGGAATAGTCTCCTGGTTGGCATCTGCACCTTCCTAGGATGATTCCAGGGTGTCTTTCATGCCTTGCCCCTGCTTTTGTCATCAACTCACAAATGAAGACCTCTCCTGGCTCAGCGACTCCCTGCCCTCTGACTGCAGTGCGAATGCCATGCTGTTCCTATCCTCAGTGAAATTCCTTCTCAAGTGCACTCCTTCCTGCCAGGCGCTGCACCTGTGGATAGAGAGACCTTCGCGAACCTGTTCACGTGGAAAGCTATCCATTAGTTCTGAGCATCTGTTATAAAATGAGCAATGCACAGGTTTTAGTCTTGGTTTTGGTTTGTTTTCCCCCGCATCCTTACCTTTTTGGATTTTCACTGAAGCCACTCTCATCTTGCAGGGACATTCACACAACCACCGGGAAGATCAAGAGAGCTGTGCTGCAGTTCACTCCTGCTAGCTGGACCTACGTTCGATGGTTTGACCCCAAGTCTTCTTTTCAGAGAGTGGCTGGAGTATACCTCTTCATGATCATCTGGCAGGTATTTTTTTAGATACCCAGAAGCAGAGGGCAAAACAAAAAAAAAAGGTAAAACCCTTTCAGGAATTCCCACTTAATTTATATTGCTTAGCAGCTGGACACTTTAGAAGATATAATACTCTGTAGCTGGCATGTAGAATATTAAGCAAAGTGATGTTGTTATGCCCAAGGTCTTGTTTCATTGTAAAGGCATTTTAGAATATGGATCTTTAGATTACAAATTAGAAAGACATTAGACTCCCCCCAAAGTCATGTTTAACATCTGTCATCCATTAAGTCTTGGATTGCTTTTTTAGAATGATCATTTTCAGGGCCAGGAGCAGTGGCTTATGCCTGTAATCCCAGCACTCTGGGAGGCCAAGGTCAGCAGATTGATTGAGCTGAGGAGTTAAAGACCAGCCCAAGCAAAAGAGCAAGACTCCACCTCTAAGAAAAAAAGTAGCCGCATGTTGTGGTGGGCACCGGTAGTCCCAGCTACTTGGGTGGCTGAGGTAGGAGGATTTCTTAAGCCCAAGAGTGAGATTTCTGTGAGCTATGATGCCATGCTCTCAACCCCAGGGCAACTGAGTGAGACTCTGTCTCCAAAAAAATGATTATTTTCAAGACCAAAGGAACAAATGAGAAGGCTTTTCTAATATTCCTAATTCAATGTTTGCTGGTTAAAATTTCACCTCAGCTGTTAGCATTTGGGGTATTTACAGAGTTATAAATAAGCTTTCTACTGCTTATGGAGAATTGGAGACTTTGGTGATGTGGGTTCTTCAGAGATTTGTGCAAGTGGACCATTTCTCGATGGAAGTAATTTATACCACCAGGGGTCTTGACTAAGGATTATCAGACATCTGTTTTCTAAAAAATAGTCTTTTTTATTTATACTCCTGCCCCTAGGTTGTTTCACAACTTTTGGAGATTAGCCAAGGGAAACCAGCTTTTGTCTAAAGCACTGGTTCTCAGCCTTCCTAATGCCATGTGTGGCCCTTTAATACAGTTCCCATGGGTTGTGACCCACAGGTTGAGAACCACTGGTCTAAAGGGTCTTTCAGAATCATCAGAGATTATGCTGGGAACACATAAATACAAATTAGTTCGGCTCAGCGCCTATAGCTCAACCGGCTAAGGCGCCAGCCACATACACC